CGTGGCGCTGAGCTGGGGACTGCTGGGTGGGGACAGGCCTCTGGGGGAGGCCCGCGGGGTCAGTCTGCCCACAGCAGCTCTGCTTCGCTGGGAACCGCTGGGCTCCGGCTTCCTCCCTGCGCCTGCCCGCTTCACCTGTCCCTTCGCACTTTCCCATGAACGTGGACTCAGACCTTGGCGGGTCTGGCGAATGCTTTGGGGTGTCCCCGAGCGCGTTCACATCGCTGTTAACTCACTCGCTCCCATGACATGTCGTTTTTTATCGTCCTAAAGCGCTACCTGTTTTTGACAACTCACAGGGTGCGGGGGACGCTGCGTGCTGTCTGTCCTTTAAGTTTCAATGCAGCTACGATGTTAATACGAAGGTTATTAGCATTTCACCGAGGAGGAAACTGAGGCGGCTAGAGTTTAAGTGACTTAAACACAGGGGATTCATGGCGGACAGTCCCTCCTGACTGGAGCATGATGCGGAGGTGGAAGCCTTTGGGCTGTAATTCCTGCCTTTTTCAGAACCGCCTCGTTTAGGTGTGAGATCGTCGAGCTGGGCGGCCGTGGGCCCCTGTTGCCTTTGCTTTCCAGAGGGCTCTCTCTTTGGCTCCTTGCCTGGTGCTTTCCAAGATGACCTAACTCAGCTTCTACTTTCAGTTTTGAAAAAGCCAAGGTTAGTCAGTTATAGCGGTTATAAAACCAGTGATAAGGGCAATCGGAGTGGTTACCCAGCTGTCTGGTGGGGACACCAGGACATGGAGCACGTTCCAAATGCCCTGTAATACACTGGACCCTCATCTCCCCCCCTAAAGGCCTTTGTGAAGTGTGGTCTTTTGATCACGAGAAAAATGTATTTAATTTATAAGTTACTTACAAAATAAAGCATGATGTCTGTTGTTACTATTATTGATATTTGCTGCTGACTGTAGAAGCCTTTTGAAAAATAACAAGTTGATATTTTTAAAAATTTCCAAACTGATATATGCCCTGTGTAGATCATTTCTGCAAGATACACAAGACAGAGGTAATGGTGATTGCCTCTGGAGGTTAATTTTCTGCTCTGTCCCATGTGTGGGTTTTGTTTGCTTCACTGTTAGCATAAGTTAATCTTTTAATAAGAGGCTGGGTCCAGATTCAAATCCAGGCCTGGCTGATATTGGCCCCCTTCTTAAAAGAGATTTTCATGATGATTTTGCAAAACCCCACCCAGTTCCCTCAAAGTGAGAATTCCAGGCCAGATGAACCCTGCTTTTACTCCTGTGGCATTTATTATATTCTAAGCATTAGAAGCTCAAATACAAAGAGCATTTTGATTTATCTTCACTTTTAACTTTATGGAAATAAACCAGGGCATCATTTAGGATACTCAGTCCAGCTCTTGTGGACTTTTCTTTCTTTCTTTTTTTAAAAAATATATTTGTATTGACTTCAGAGAGGAAGGGAGAGAGAGAAACATCAGTAAGAAACATTAATGATGAAAAAGAATCATTGATCGGCTGCCTCCCACACGCCACCTACTGGGGATCGAGCCTGCAACTCCAGCATGTGTCCTTGACGGAAATTGAACTTGGGACCCTTCAGTCCGCAGGCTGAGGCTCTATTCACAGAGCCAAACCAGCTAGAGCTCTTATGGGGCCAAACCAGCTAGAGCTCTTATGCACTTTTGATATTTTCTTTTCTGGTGACCTTTCCTTCGACAATAGAGTGTTTCTAAGCAGATACGTACGTTCAGAGTGGCCTGGTACTTCTCTTCCCCACCACCTTCTGGACCTGGAGAAGCAGCTGCTCTGTAGTAATCATGAGCCCTGAATGTATATATGTATTTTTTTAAAAATATATTTTATTGATTTTTTACAGAGAGGAAGGGAGAGGGATAGAGAGTTAGAAACATCGATGAGAGAGAAACATCGATCAGCTGCCTCTTGCACACCCCCTACTGGGGATGTGCCCGCAACCAAGGTACATGCCCTTGACTGGAATCGAACCCGGGACCCTTCAGTCCGCAGACCGACGCTCCATCCACTGAGCCAAACCCTTCAGGGCTGTATTTTATTTTTAAAAAATATTTTTATTGATTTTTAGAGAGAGAGGAAGGGAGAGGGAGAAAAACATCAATGTGAGAAACATTGATCAAGTGCCTCCTGAACTCCCCCTACCGGGGATTGAGCCTGCAACCCCGCATGTGCCCTGACCCGGAATCAATGAGCAACCTCTGGGTGCACAGATGACGCTCAAGCAACTGAGCCACCCCAGCCAGGGCCATATATGTTTTAATTATACACATGCATTAGTGTCAGTCTGTATATTTAGTAGCAGAATACTTCTCTTCATTTGGATGAAAAATATAGAAATAGACTTTATATTTCATTTCTGCACCTTCAGGGATGGTCTAGTCATGCATCCCCTTTTGGAAACCACTGTTCTGCAGCATTATGCAATGTATTTTGAACCCAGCTAGCTATAGAAATCATTTCGGGGTGCTGATTAAAATGCAAATCCCATTTTCATGCATTACTCTACTTGGTCATAATGGAGAGTATGTTCTCCCCCATTTGCCAGAGTCCTCAGCCTATCCTATTTTCTAACGCAGCCATTGTTTCCTATTGTTCTCACTCATTTAAGCTATTTGCCAGCTTCTGTCGGCATATAAACCTTGTAGCCCATGAAATCAGGTACAAAAGCAGATAGGAGCTCGGTGTATAAACCCTGGGCAGGATGTAGTGGTTGTGTTTTGTAAAAACATACTTTGGGTTGACTCTTTTAGTAATCTGAGCAACTAGTAATAATAACATCTGCCATTTACAGAGCCACTTTACTAGACACTACACATAGAGAAGTCAGATGGGTGTCAATCTAGGCAGGAGCAGGAATAAAAAAAGAAAGATATAACATGAGTTTTTTTTATGTGGATTCTATGAAGGGTGTGTGAGGTGAAAAATGAAGTGTGAAAAGTAGGTTAGGGCCAAATCATGTGGACTTTTGAGTGACGTGTTAAGGGATTTTATGGGTGCTAAGAAGCCATCGAAATAATTGCCAGATAAAGAAGTGATCAAAGACAATACAGTAAAAAGAATGTGCTCTAGCCCTAGCTGGTTTGGCTCAGTGGATAGAGTGTCGGCCTGTGAGCTGAAGGGTTTGATTCCGGTCAAGGGCAGAAGCCGGGGGTGTGGGCTCGATCCCCAGTAGGGGGCATGCAGGAGGCAGGCGTGCAGGAGGCAGCTGATCAATGATTCTCTCATCATTGATGTTTCTCTCCCTCTCCCTCTCCCTCTCCTTTCCTTTCTGAAATCAATAAAGAAATATATTTTTTTAAGTGCTCTAGAGCACTATTAGGCAACAAATTGATAAAAATAATGTATTACCCTTTCTGGATTTTGGGATCAGCTTTTCTACGTGTCAGCTTTTAAAAATTGCTATTTGTGCCCTAGCCGGTTTGGCTCAGTGGATAGAGCCTCAGCCTGCAGACCAAAGGGTGCCGGGTTTGAATTCGGTCAAGGGCATGTACCTTGGTTGCAGGGTCCTATACACTGGGGCCTTGTTCGGGGCTCATGTAGGAGGCAACCAGTTGATGTGTTTCTCTCACATGGATGTTTCTCTCTGCCTTTCCCTCTCTCTTCTACTCTCCCTAAAAATCAACGGAAAAATATCCTCGGGTGAAGATTAACAACAAAAAAATTGCTAGTTGTTATGATTTATTTTTCTCATTTTGATTAAATATCCATTTTCATAGTTAAAAAAAAGTTCTTGAGAGCCTCCACAGAAAGGTTCTTGAAGATTTGGCACAATTTCCGGTGACAAAAGAAGATACTATTAGAAGTCTGCTAGAAAAAGCCAAAAAGGCATGTGTAGGGGAATTCTGTGGGAAAGATACTAGGTCAAAGTTTATCCTTCAAAATGGAGGTAGCCTTTGGGAAAAGTGGAAATGGAACTGGGAGAATAAATGATCAAATTTAAACACTTGGTGCCTGATCTAGCTTTTGACCAAGGTAGCTCCAAGTGAAATACTGTGCAATTTTCATTTGTCTTTCCCTGATGTTCCTCAGGGAAACCGAAGGTGCAGGTTTACTCGCGGCATCCACCAGAGAATGGAAAGCCAAACTTCCTGAACTGCTATGTGTCTGGGTTCCATCCACCTGAGATTGAAATTGATTTGATGAAGAATGACGAGAAGTTGCCAGTGGAGAAATCAGACCTGTCTTTCAGCAAGGACTGGTCCTTCTACCTTCTGGTGCATGCCAACTTCACTCCCAGCGCAGGGGTTGAGTACAGCTGCATGGTGAAACATGTTTCTCTTTCTGAGCCTATGAAAGTTAAATGGGGTAAGTTTTCAAGTTCTTTCCTTAGCTGCTGACAGTTGTGTCTGAGTAGAGACACAGCATAAGGCTGCTTTGATATTTTTTTAAAAAATGCACTGGGATTGTCAGGAAACATTATTAAAGCTCTGATAAGTGGCACCTTCTGCGACGCCTCTGCACAGCGTGGCCCTGGAAATGGTAGTTTTCCTGAGGCAACAGTAAGGATCGGCAATAGCACTTGCACAAATGCATACTCACTTCCAACATTTCTTACCGACTGGCTTCCGTAGGCTTTCCTGACAGCCTCAGGGATACTGAGGACCAACAAGAGTCCCAGGGAAGCCTTTGTAAGTCTTGCTCCGCTAGCTCCCTGCAATCCTGGACTCCTCCAGCAGCACTCTCACTGGGTTGGGATCTAGGCTAGTAGGCAGAGTTGGGTCCAACTAGGTCGTTCTAAACAAGGTACTCATGGTTAAGGACAGCAGGCTATTCTGTCAGACATTTGTTAATACATAGTATTTTGTATTACAAAACTTACTGTTTTCTTTTTTCTTTCCCTGTTTTCTTTTCCATAGATAAGGACAAGTAACCAGCATCATGGAGGTATGTTTCTAACTTTTTTTTTTTAAGTTTCTTTTTTGTTTTGTTCCATTATCCTGGGGACTATTTCCAGGTAGCCCTAATCTGGTAACCCTTAGTCTATGGAGGACATTCATTGGGGTGGCATGTCAGCAGGCAGAGAAGAATCCTGCAGGGTCACATTCCCTTTTCCTGTGGAGTGGCATGAGGGAGGTGTGTGGCCCCTGCTGTGGCTCTGCGTGCATCACCGGCCCTCTAAGGGAAGTCAGTGGGGCTGCTGGTGTGCTGTAACAGGATAGAGCAAACCCACACCACCTGCAAGGGTTTGCTCTTTTTTCTGCCATTTCCACAGGGACTATCTCTGGGCCTTCAAAAACGAACCATTCTCTTCTCTTGCATAGCAGTTGCATTATTATTCAGTCAGAAGAGAGGAGTGGCATGGTTCTGAAGATGTCCCATTCCTTCAGTCTTCTGTTGAGCCTTCGCTGTGGGCACTGTGTTTGCCTCCTATAGGCTCCCAGTCCGATAGAGGAGAGAAATAGAAACATTGTTATAATAATGTAAAGATACTAAAATGGATGTAACTACAAGGAGCTTCAGCAGCATGAAAGAGGGGAGGAACTGGACTTCTCTGCCTCTTTGGACAGAGTAGAAAACCTCTTTAAATGTCCTGTTATATTTTAGGACAAGGAAATTAATTCAAGAGAGCATTAAAGAAGCTGGGTGACCTGACCAGAGTCACACAGTAGCTGAATGATAGGGCCAGAATCTGAACTGTAATGCCAGCAATTCCTTTCTCTTAGGTTGTGGGAGAACCAATGGGATAAACTAAAGGGAAATGCTCTTTGTGATGGGTCTGGAAAATTGTCTGCAGCTACTTCCTTTACAAATGGTGTCGTACACAGCAAAAGTTAGACAAGTTGTGTGGTGTGATCTGTAATCCAAACAAAATAAGTATACTTGCTAACAAGACTTTCCTCCCTCTCCCCTCAGGTTTGAAGATGCCTGCCTCATTTGGATTAAACTAATTCAAAATTCTGTTTTCTTTTTAATACACATATGTTATTATGCTTTATGCACACAAATTAAGGAGCAACACGGAATTTGACACAAATATCTGCTTTATAATTTTACTTTGGGTTTTATGTCTTCTTGGCTGACCTATCTGGGCAGAAGGTTGCTGGCAGCTTAGAACAGGGAGGGGAGAATTCTTATGTTCAAGATTACCATTATGAAAGGATTTTCATAGAAAATTTACCTTTAATCAATGTTGCAAATATTTTGATATTTTTGCTTCATTAAATAAAACTATGGTAAAACTTGATGTGTTCAGTTTCTTATATATCTCTCCCTCTCTTACCGTTTTGTTTTCAAACAGGGAAACAATCTTCAAGTGTCACTTGAAGAAGAGTGTAAGTCCCTGTCCTATAGGGTTTGGTTCATGGAGGAAGGGGCCTCGGTGATCTGCATTTTACAGATGAGGAGCAGGATCCCAGAGAAATTAAATGACTTAGTCAGAGGGACACACTGTCTGCTAAAGACCAGGCTCCCATCTTTTAGTCAGAGTTCTGTTCCCTGGGCCAAGACCTCAGGAATGTCTATACTCAAAGAAGGAACAAGGGTGACTGGAGAATTTCATATTTTAGGAAGCAGTAGATAAACTTGGAATGAAAAATACTAGACTTGGCTTTCCTGCTGATAGCTCTCGCAGACATGGTGAACGTTCCTAAAAACCGCCGAACTTTCTGTAAGGAGTGTGGCAAGCATCAACCCCACAAAGTAATCTCTTACCGTTTTGTTTTCAAACAGGGAAACAATCTTCAAGTGTCACTTGAAGAAGAGTGTAAGTCCCTGTCCTATAGGGTTTGGTTCATGGAGGAAGGGGCCTCGGTGATCTGCATTTTACAGATGAGGAGCAGGATCCCAGAGAAATTAAATGACTTAGTCAGAGGGACACACTGTCTGCTAAAGACCAGGCTCCCATCTTTTAGTCAGAGTTCTGTTCCCTGGGCCAAGACCTCCAGAATGTCTATACTCAAAGAAGGAACAAGAGTGTCTGGAGAATTTCATATTTTAGGAAGCAGTAGATAAACTTGGAATGAAAAATACTAGACTTTTCAATTTCAAGGCATAGTTTATACATGATGACCCTCTTGGTGCACTTTTTTATTTGACCAAAAATTTCAGTTAGCTAGTGCTAGGTACTGACAAGATGAATAAAACACAACACTGCTCTCAAATTGCTCAGTTTAGTGGAGTGGCAGACATGCACTCAAACAGTTAATGCATCCTGATAAAGAGTATAGGCAGCATAGGTAAGCCCAAAGAACTAGGTCGTAGGAAAGTGTGCCCAGGGAACAACAAAAAACTTTAGGTAGGTGTTAGGGAAGCCATTTATTTGCTGGAGCTGAGACTTGATGGAAAGTGGTTCTCCCTGTTGGTGAGTGGGGCCTGGGGTGGTCAGGCAGGGGGGAAAATTACGAGATGTATAGAGGTATGACAGGTGTGGGTTATTTCAAACAGCAGAGCAAGGGTACCTGAGGGAAGATCTGTAGGAACTTAGCTGAGAAAATTGAAGGGTGACTTAGACCAATAACTTTTCACCCCTGATGCACAGTAGAATTATCTGTGCTACTTATTAAAACATACCAGCTCTTGCCTGGCCAGTACAGCTCAGTGGTTCATGGTCGACCTATGAACCATGTGGTCATGGTTTGATTCCCAGTCAGGGCACATGCCCAGGTTGAGAGCTCGATCCCCAGGAGGAGCATGTAGGAGGCAGCCTATCAATGATTCTCTCTCATCATTGATATTTCTCTTTCTCTCCCTCCCCTTCCTCTCTGAAATTAAAAATATATTTAAAAAAACACACACACATACCAGCTCTAAAAAAAAAAAAAAAAGAGTCATTAAAAAACCCCAGCTTTCTAGGTTCCAATCCAGAGCAACTAAACCAGTCTCTAAGGGTGGAGCCCAGACACACAGCAGTATTATTATTATCTTAAATTAAGACCTTATGTTTTCAGAGCTGTTTTAGGAAAACAGAAATTGAGAGGGTGGAGCCCAGACACACAGCAGTATTATTATTATCTTAAATTAAGTCCTTATGTTTTTAGAGCTGTTTTAGGAAAACAGCAAAATTGAGAGGAAGGTGCAGAGATTTCCCATATATTCCCTGCCCCCCACCAACCGTAGCCTCCCCCATTACCAACATCCCTGACCAGAGTGGTACAACTGATGACCTTACATTGACGTATCATTAGCACCAAAGTCATAGTTTACAGTATGGTTCACTCTTGGTGTGTTGTATGTTCTATGGGTTTGGACAAGTGTATAATGACATGCATCCATCATTATGGTATTATACAGAGGATTTCACAGTCCTAAACATCCTCTGTGCTCCCAACATTCATTCCTCCTTCTCGCCTCCACAACTTGAAGCAACCATTGATTTTGTTACTCTCCTCAGTTTTGCCTTATCCAGAATGTCATATAGTTGGACTCATGCAGTATGTAGCCTTTCCAAATGGGCTTCTTTCAGTTAGTAATATGCACTTATGGTTCATTCATGTCTTTTCATGACTTGATAGTGCATTACTTTTTAGTGTTAAATAATATGCCATTGTCTGGGTGTACCTCAGTCTATTTATCCATTCAACTAATGAAGAACATAATGGTTCCAAAAATTGGCAATTATGAATAAAGATGATACAAATATCATGTGCAGGCTTTTGTGTGGACATAAGTTTTCACAATATTGTGGTTTTTTAAAAAAAATCTCTAGATGGTTCTAATGTGTAGCCAAGGTTGAGACCCATTGAGTTAAATCATAAAGGACTTCCTGTCCCATGTCATTCAACAGAACTATTTTGTGAAAAGCTTGTTTGCTGGCTAATGGTCCCATGTAATACTCCTCTGGACCAGGCCTCAGTTGCCCATTTCAGAACTAGGAACTGATCAGAGAGGAGGAATACTGGGGCTTAACTGTGCTCATTAAATGCAATTGTGCAATGCAAATTAAACAAAAATCTCAATGTCGATAATAAAGAGTTAGACCTTACATATTGACAGAAAAATAACCATGCTATATTGCTGAAATAAAAAAGTAACTTCTAGAAAAATGAATTATATACTTGTATCATACACAAAAGCAGATCTGTAAAGTCAAGTATCTTTACATTAGTATAACAATGTTTCTATTTCTCTCCTCTGTCGTGCCCTAAATTACCGTTAGTGGTTACTCAGGAGAAGGGTAAACAACGAAAAGGAAGCTGACTAGTCTGTAAGGAAATTAATTTGCTAAAAGCCATTTGGCTGAGTATCAGTGAGCATTTTCCTGTGTGTGTGTATGGGGGAAGGGATTGGGGGAGGGTTGGGAGTGGAGGAGTGATGGTGAAACAGTACAGGCTCATATCTTAAGCAGTGGTATTTCCCTCCTGCTGCTCACCATGGCCATCACTGTGGCCCATGTTCTGCCCTTCTATATACTAGGGAATGTAGGAGCTGAGCCAACCATCACCTACCATGGCCTGGCCAAATGGAAGGAGGCTGGAAACCGTAAGACTCTCCCACTCTCCCAGGCAGAAGGCAAGCTGTTTCTCAACTTGAAGCAAATTGATTATTTGAAGAATTATTTGGCTAATTTATATATAAAACTTTTCTTTTAGAAAATTTATTGTAACATTGTTTTAAAATTGTCCTCATCAAATAATGAAAGTAAAGAAAAATATCATAAATGTTTGCAATCTCTTACAACAGAGATGACCACCTTTTGGACCCCACTGGATTTTCTCAGTGTACCCATCACTCTCCATTTTATATTATGGCATTTATTTATTTATTTTTATGGAAACCAACATTTTATTGAGCTCTCCTCACGCCTCAGAAATCTACTCCAGCAGATTCTCTCTTTGCTGTGTGCATCACAGACATGGGGTGTGACCAGCACTCCCCCCACCCCCTGCGACATGACACACCCAAGAGAGGAAGGCTCCTTCTGGGGCCAAGAGAGCAGTTAACCATAAAGACCCAGAGGTATAATTCATTTATCTCACAAAACAAAAAACAAGTATGAAACCTCAGGAATGTCCTAGCGCTCAGAATATAAATATTAAAAAGGGCCCCGTCTGGCGTGACTTGGTGGTTGAGTGTCGACCTATGAACCAAGAGTTCATGGTTGGATTCCTGGTCAGGGCTTATACCTGCCTGGTTTCCAGCTGGATCCCCAGTAGGTTGCGTGCGTGTGTGTGTGTGTGTGTGTGTGTGTGTAT